CTTCCAACAGTTGTTAAATATCATAACACAGTCAAAAATGAATAGTAGATATCATACTATAGTAGAAAATGGACGGCAGATATCATACTATAGTAGCATTGCTGTTTCTATACACTTTCATCTTAGTAGGTTACTTTCATTTTAAATTAAAGTAGCAGCATTTTTTGAATTGAAATTTTGGTCAAACTCATTACAGTGAGCAACTAATGCATTGAGTTTGTTGTTTTGTAAAAGATCCTTTTTGTGTTCATATAATCTTTTTATTTAAATTTCTTGAGGTTTCTCCTATGTAATCCTTATGGTAATTATTACAGGTGAAATAATTTTAACTTATTAATAGTTTATTTTGTATTAATTATTTGAAAATTTTTTTTGCTTTTTAATATATGTTTAATATTCTTTTTTCAGTATATTATCCAGCCAATTTAGTTTAGTTTCTTTTGCTTATATTTTTTATCCTTTTGTCATAAAGTATGTCACATTGTGATAATAGGAGATCTGCCAAGAAAAGTGAAATGTTGCAAGATTCTGGATGCAAATTTATTATGGATGATCCAGCAATTAAAGCACTTACTATATATTTTCATCTTAGTAAATTGCTTTCTCTTTTAATTAAAGTAGCATTTTTTTAATTGAAATTTTGGTCAAACTCATTACAGTGAGCAACGAATGCATTGAGTGTGTTGTTTTGTAAAAGATCCTTTTTGTGTTCATATAATCTTTTATTTAAATTTCTTGATTTTTGGTTGATTTGGTGTGGCAGCATGTCAACCTCTCTGGATTATTTAATGCCAAATTCTAAATATTTTGAATGCAATTGTATGTCTTCAACTACAGATAAAATATTGTTGGCCATTTTACTATAAATATGTAGTTTTGGTCAATTTAAAAAAAAAGTATTGCTGGTATTTTTACTATAAAATTGTATTTTTTATACTTTCATGTTTTGTTTTGTTTTGGGGTTCACTATTTGCCATAGCTGGGACATTAAAAGGTTCTACCCCCAGGGTCAGAGTAGACCTGGGAACAACAGCAAATACAAAGGTGGTTTTATGCCCCTTAAAACCTCCAAACTCCCAATCAGATGCCTTTGTCACCAGATGTAGTTTATCGTCATATCCTAAAAACTTAAATTCATTGAGGTTTCACCAGTTATATTCCAGGGTACGATTGATAAATTGTCATCTAAATGACACAAAAATGAAAATAAAAATGGCATCTAATTTAACATACATACAGCGTGCGATGGATAAATTGTCGTCTAAATGGTAAAAAAATGGAAATAACACTGGCACTGAATTCTAACAGATATGCAATGTGCGATAGATAAATTGTCGTCTAAATGACGCAAAAATGAAAATAAAAATGGCATCTAATTTTAACATACATACAGCGTGCGATGGATAAATTGTCGTCTAAATGATGCAAAATGAAAAATAACACTGGCACTGAATTCTGACAGATATGCAATGTGCTATAGATAAATTGTCGCCTAAATAAATAAAAATGAAAAAATAAAAATGGCATCTAATTTTAACAGATATACAGCGTTGATGGATAAATTGTCGTCTAAATGATGCAAAAATGAAAATAAAAATGTTATCATTTTAACAGATATACAGCAGCGTGCGGTGGATAAATTGTCGTCTAAATGACACAAAAATGAAAATAACACTGACATCTCATTTTAACAGATATATTTACCAAAATTACACAAAAAGTATCTTTTAAATATTCAATAAAATCACCACTGGCTTCAACGACAGCCTCCAACAGCCTGCAACTCTTCTGGACAGTCTCTTTGCTTAAGTTGGTGAATGCTGCCATAATATTTGCCTTCAGTTCATCTTTTGTGTTACAAGGATTTTTATGGTCTATCACCAGCTGTGCATAATGATCAAGGGGGTTGCAGTTTGGTGAGTTAGGTGGCCAGATGTATGGGGTGATTGGTCGCAGAAACTGTCTGACAGCCATGAGTGGGTCCTTCTGTTTGTGTGGCATGGTACAGTGTCCTGTTACCAGATATAGGATCTTCCAACAGCCACCCTCTTGATGCAGGACACTACCTCATCAAAACACTTGATGTAGGCTTTGAGACCCTCACCAACAAATTTGGGAGTTGAAAATTTATCAGAATGATCAGAGGAGTTTTCTGAGATGCTGTACCTTCGTCATCACCATTAGACTCAAATCTTTCGTTCCAAATCCTCTGAAGTGTCCCTCAGATTGAATTCAAATTCCTAGAATAAACAAAATAAATTCATCCCAGAACAGACAAAATAAATCATCCCAGAATAAATAAAATAAATTCACCCCAAAATAAACAAAACAAATTCATCATTCTCTGTTCATATCGCAGTTTCTGTCATGAATGGCAATCAGTCCAGCATGCTGTTTCCGTAACTTTCTGGCAGAATGAACTGCGCCATGGTGCTCTTTTTCAAACAAATAATGTCCCTTACTATACTGTACTTAATACAAAATAAAAAAAACAAAACAGCAACACACGCAAAATTAAAATATAAATTGGTGTCAATTTACCCATTCGAGTTTTATATATGGTATTATTACCATTAACATGGAGAGTCAGCAGTACCTTAAAAATACCATCAAGCTTTGCTAGTTCTTTTTAATATTGTAGGAGTACCAGGTATAAACAGATGTAATAATAATGACTTGTCTATTTTGAAATATAAAAAAGAGATTGTTAACAATAGATGCTTTGATGATTCACTGTATCTTCGGCACCAAACTTAAGTATGAAACCTCCTCATCCGACTTGTTAACAAGAATCGGTATTAAGGATATAACATCATGCTGTAACTGTTATCTTAGGTGGTTTGGTCACATTCAATGAGCTTTGTCTTTGCATCATGATTGTCTTGGAGTTCAGATTCCTGGTCGCAGAGGTCAAGGCATTTAAATACCAGGTTGGAATCTAGCGCAGGATAGTATTTTATTAGATGAGGGTGAATGGAGTCTTCTGATTATTTGGTTGGCAATCCATTTAGTGATGGTGTCACGAAAAAAACACCCTTTGATAGCTCCATGAAGCATCAAGAATTCAGCTATTGACAAGATTATGAACTACACCAAGAAGATCTTTTGAGTGCTAAGGACAGATAGGGAATACTGGGGGTGTAGTGAGTTCAATTTGCTGAGGATAAGATGATGATGATGATGACACCTAGGTAGATGTGGAAGGACTGCATTGGGAAAGATGCAGGAGTGCAACCTGCCCACATTAACCCGCTTTTTTAACAGGGATACTTGAAAGAAAGAAAGAGGTAGCCGACTGCTGCCTACCCCAGTCACTGGGAAACCTCTTGCAGCAGTATAATCAAAGTCCGGATCTTAACTGACTTTGCCTGACACATTACAAACACTCAAAATACAAATACGTCTTCAGATTTCAGTGTCACCTTACTTAAAAAAGATTGGAGAAATGTAATAAGGGTTTCAATGACAAGAGAATGGCATTTGATATGTTTGTGGTTAATAAGGAAGAAATTCACAAGTTCCGGCCATGTTAAGTAATAAATAAAGGCTTTTTTGTTTTTGAACTCAGGTCATTGTTTGTTTTTTGAGTGTTTGTAACATGCCAGGCCTTGTTAACAATCTCTTTATTATGTTTCAAAATAAACAAACTGTTTGTTATAAACAAAACAAATAATTCAACTATATAAGTTGTCATGAGTACAAGAAAAAGTTTATCATGTAACGGCTAAAGGCTACCAGATGCCTCCCCCACCACCACCGGTGTGTTTACATCCACTCCCCAAACCAGTTCATCCCATGAAAGTGCTTTGTGACTCTCTACTATCTTATCAACATTTGCTTTATTCTACCTACATTTATATGAGTTACAAATTAAACTAAGTAAACATCTGACTATTAAAGGATGAACATGTTTTACAGATTTTGATGTAATTTCTGGGGTGAATTTATTTTGTTTATTCTGAGGTAAATTTGTTTTGTTTATTCTGGGATGAAATTATTTTGTATATTCTCGGGTGAATTTATTTTGTTTATTCTGGTGTGAATTTATTTTTTTTATTCTGGGGTGAATTTTTTTTTTATTTTGGGGTGAATTTGTTTTGTATATTCTGGGGTGAATTTGTTTTGTTTATTCTGGGGTGAATTTATTTTGTATATTCTGGGATGAATTTGTTTTGTTTATTCTGGAGTGAATTTGTTTTTATTTATTCTGGGGTGAATTTTTTTTTGTGCATGCTAAATCTCAATAAAAAACAAATATATAAAATTCACTATTTTTTATCCATAATCCTGAATGTGTTAAAATTATTCAACATTTTAACAAGGAAAATATTAAGTTGATGTTAAAAACTGTCACAAAACATTGTTGATTTATTTAAGAAAGAATGATCTATTATGACATATCTCTAATTTGTATTTAGATACATTGTATTTATTTTCAATTTTTATAGCATTGAATTGTTCCCTATATTTCATATGATCCATTATTGTGAATACTTCCTTAGAAAATTTGCCATGCACATCTTAAGAAATCATGTATCTTTCCTTGTTTAAGTTGCTCTATCTCATATGCACTAATTTCCCCGCCCTGACATTTTTTAATTTCTGTAGACCACACACACACACACACACACACACACACACAGTCCTGAAATTTTCTTATACATGGGAAAAACGTTGGATCTTATGTATATTCCCTAATATATATATGTATATATTTAACAGCTGTTATATAGCATTGAGCACTGGTTTTATAACACATGAGAAAAATACATATCTACGTGCAAGTATATGTGCGTATATGTATGTTTTTTTTTTTATCATACCCATATTTATTTCTCTCGTATGTGTGTGTGTATGTGTAATTTTAAAATTTATTATTTCTAGATCAAATTCTGTCTTTCACATAAGCCCTTACACATACAGAAACTCTGTCTCTGTCTCTCACGTACACATACACACTTCGAGTTTAACCCACACACATAGTGTTCTGAATAGGGTAAATGTATGAACTTAATATCTGCAATAAATTGATTCTTTCGAAATCAAATGCTCTCTCTCTGTCTCTTTTTCTCTGTCTCTTTTTCTCTGTCTTAAATTTTTTCTCTTTTTTTCTCTTTTCATGTCTCTTTTCTGTCTCTTTTTCTCCTTCTCAGATGGAATTTTCTTTCTGTTTAAAAAAATTGTTTTCTTTCTTTCTCTTTCTCCTTCTCTTTCTTTCTTTCTTCCTTTATTTCTCTTTCTTTTTCTTTCTCCTTCTCTCTTTTCTTTCTTTCCTTTTCTCTCTTTCTTTCTTTCTCCTTCTCTCTTTCTTTCTTTCTCCTTCTCTCTTTCTTTCTTTCTCCTTCTCTCTTTCTTTCTTTCTCCTTCTCTCTTTCTTTCTTTCTCCTTCTCTCTTTCTTTCTTTCTCCTTCTCTCTTTCTTTCTTTCTCCTTCTCTCTTTCTTTCTTTCTCCTTCTCTCTTTCTCTCTCACTACAATGGTTTTCAACATAATTGGTACTTTGGTAAAGTGGTTTATCTTGTGAATGGTTCAAACGGCCCCAAAAGCCCCCTCTATTACCGTTACTACCACCGCCTCATCTACTTCTTAAACAATTTTTACCACTTTCAAATTCTCCTTAAGGACAGAGTAGGGTTTTTAATGAAGAGCTATTGGTCCATTGATGCTTTTCACCGTTTAAAAATCTCATAATATCCGGTCAAGATGTTAAATACAATCTCTATTGCCATTTAATATTAGACATTATTCCAGCACTACAAGCTTTAAAAAAATATTTGAAAAATGTTCTTGATACATTCAAGAACACACTTAACGTCTCTTGGCTCCAAAAATGTTAAGAGTCAGACATTTTTTATATAAGCCACATTACATTAAGAAGTATTGACTTTATTTCAGATGGAATGTTGTCAGCCATTATACCACTTTCTATGTGCCGCCCCCTTTGGAATTATGGCGATCGTGAGAAAATATGTTTTTTTATCCTTTATGACTATTAACAATATCTTTTTATTATTTAAAAAAAATCATTTCACTCCAAGTAAAACAATAAAGCCACAAAGGGGCTTCTTTTTTAAGCATATCACCCCAAAAATAAAAAGGGAATTTTTTAGCATGCAAGGGGTTACAGAGTGAAAGTTTATTAAAAAAAAATCAAAAAGGGAAAGGATAAAAAGGAGGAAATAACAAAGGTCAACGCATCAGAAAATGTCGATTGACATTGTATTTAAATTGGAAAAATTATAGTTATCAGGGCAGCGGCTAAAAGGGAGGGTGAAAACTGTCGGGAAGTGCAGAGAAGCTGAAAATAAAAGAGTCATTAAACTTTAACATTTAACTGTTTTAGAGACTGACAGTAAAAATTGGGACCGAGATGATAAGTAAATGAAAACTTTTAAATTCATGCAGTGAAAATAGTTGCCATGAAAATTTATTTTAGAAAAGAACAACTGGAAGCCACATCAATCTGTGAAGAATTGATTGATTCGAGAGATTTGATTGATATCCGTCTTTGGGTTTTGTCGAGAACCTCAATATATTATTAACTAAAATATATATGGCAACAATATTTAATTCAAGGCTGAATGGTAGATTTGCAGATTTGAACTCAGACGAGAAAAAGCTTTTGACCCGACACTGTGAACCAATTTTTCTCAAGAACTTGACCAGGTTATAGGTTATTTTTTGTAGCAACTTGCAAAGTCATTTGAAACTATCCCTAGAAGGAAATTCTACGAAATTCTGTGGATTACGTTGGGGATACTCTAAAATTTTTCAGAGCAGATGCCATGAAAATATATGTAGATTTCCAGAGAGTCTGTGAGATTTTGACTATAGACGAGATGCCAGATCATTATCTATCACATTGCATAATATGTCTCAAATTTTTTCTCGATTACCTCAAAATGAAAAGAGGAGGCACCAGGCCATATATTTCGGCATTACTCAATGCAAATGAATGGGAGATTTTAGATTTGAAGGATGGACCCAGAAAAAAACTTTTATCTGACACTTTTACCAAAATTTTTTTTGCGGTAGATGTAGACATTGATTGAAGGTTCCAACTCAGGTCAAGAAAAAAATCAGTCCTTGTCGCATACTCTTGAATTCCTTTTGATGTCTTGATGCTGTTTTTAACTTTTTTCGGTGTTTCAACGTGAGATTTTTTAATCCCTAGATGATTTTTAGGTTGTTTAATTGTTGGAATAGAAAAGATTAGGTTATATTTAACTTTTTTGACAATGAAGTTCGGGTGATACCAAGATACCAACCTGATCTACGCTTAAATTCAAAAATGGGGTACCAGTGAAAGCAAAGCTGGTCAGGATCTGGTTGCCATGAAAATATTTGTTAAAAGACAGAGGGAAGCCACATCGCGTATGTGAGAAAGAGACTGAAGTCTAGATGCCAAGTCAGGATCGATTACACTGCAGATCCTTTTAGGGATTGTGTCAAGAACCTTGAGATGAATAGCAGGTCACCTAACCAGATATGGTGCAGTAAGCACGGTCGATTGGTAGATTTGTAAATGTGCAAGATCGACTCTGACGAGAAAAAAAACCCAAACATCTGGCACGATACAGAGAACTAACTTTCTTTGCAGTAGATGCAGCTATTGATTCAATGTAGTTGTTCCACTCAGTTGAAAACGTGAAGCCAAGAGACCGCAGGAGTCGAGCATCAGGGAAGCTTCTCTATGGTGGTTAAATGAGACCAGTTTCGTTTCGGAAGCATTAAAATTTACCAGCAATTTCCTTTACAATTTGTATATATATATATATATATATATTATGCTGTTCTTTGATCTAAGCTTTCGGCTCACATGAGCCATCTTCAGAGTGGTTATATGGACATTTAAACAAAGTTATTCACCATCAAAGATGTTGGACAGTTTTTTGTCTTCATTTTCTCCCGAAATTAAAGCAATTATACGAAGTTTAGAATGGCTCATAATCAAACATAATAGACATTCGTTGTCTGTTATATTTAGCAATATATGTTTGAATAATGATCTGCTTCCCCAATACACTAATATATATATATATATATATATATAATCCAATGTTTTCATTGGAATTTCCGCGGCGCAATGGAAACAAAGACTTTACACACATAGGAACTCTTTTACCAACCAAAAATAAAGACAGCTTAAGAAGTTTCGGAATTGAGGGAGAAAGGTCTGAACCCACAGATTGAATTGAAAATTGTTTCACTCATACTCATAATAGTCTTAGGAATAGGTGTGACCTATGTTTAGAAGAGAAAATTAGAATTATAAAATTCAATAATGAAAGCAAACTATTAAATCAAATGAATAAATTATTTTTAAAATGTCTCCAGAGGAGTAGGTTTAAACTTCTATCATATCTTAGATCTTGCTTTATTTTTTACTATTGTAACCCTTCTAATGTCATACATATTACTATAGTTATTTCTATATTTTGCTATCTCTATATCAATCCTATCGTATAAACTTCCACTACTTTAGGAACTCCATTTATTCTTTTACATTTTTAATTTTTAATTTTTTTTTTTTTTATATATTCTGGGTAGGGTTAATATTCTTAATAATTTAACTTGTCTTTAAAATTTAAAATGTTTAATATAATTATTTTTATTTTCATTCATTTTCGATAAATTTTTTCTAAATATAAACTATCTAAAAACGATTTATTGTTAATGTTATATCTCATTTGGAAGCATATTTTGTTAAGTTTGAGTGGTAAAATTTTTTTTTATATAATTAATATTTTCGTTTTATACTACTCCCTTTTTTGGCCTTTCTTTAGTTTCACTTTTTCTTTCTTATAACCCCAATTTGGGGTCTTAAGGTTAATATCTGGGTTGAATTAGTTTATAATTTTTTTTTTTAAGCCCCGATAATATGACTTTCCCCTTGCCACCACAATGCAGCCCGTCTTGTCTGCGATGTTAGAGGTTTGTGTATCAATTTTCAATGCTGTCTTTTTGTTAAATATTAAATTTTAAATCTCTAGTTCCGACACTGAATACAGCTCACCATTTGAGTTGAATAAGTAACGTTAGATAAAATAGTCTATTAAAAACCAAGATAATTTTGGATTTCTCTGTTATGTTGTGTATATATATATATATATATATACTTAAATATTTTATGCTGGGGGTTTTGAAAAATATTGGATCGTTTCTTGGCATTATTTGAGATTCGATCAAGGGAGGTGACTAATTTTGGACTGGAAATGGCAAAATTTAATGCTAGGACAAGTAAATATGCTTTGACTAGGCTCTGACCAGCTTGGACATAAAAATACCAATTTTGAATAGTGGCCTTTGTTTGGAAACATTCAGGTTTCCCACGTTAATCGACCTTTTTCACATCTTGAGCTTTGGAGGTCATGAAAATTTATATATATATATATATATATATATATATATAATTTATAAAGCTTTTTTGATCCAGCTTCTTTTGCTGTGGAGTTTTCTTAGTGAAAGAAGACGTTGCTGGGGCTGTTAAAATGGCTTAATTATACTTTGAAATGAGTATCAAAACTGGAATTAGAAATATAATTTTATACTGAGTAAATATTAGTTTCCTCTTCCTCACTGCTGTTCCAGAGGTATATTATTTTGATTTGTATTGTAATTTCCGGGTTCGATTATATTCTTAGTGCAATTAACTGAAATTATCTCAAAAATGAAAACAATTTTTGCTTTCTGCATTCTGTTGAGGATTTTTGTTTTAGCCAACAATGAATTATTACCTGTGAAACCATTCAAATCTCAAAAAATTATATATATAAAAAATTTTCTGTTGAATAAAAGAACAACGGAAATTTTTCTAGTATTCATAATTTTGGTGCACACTGCTAACGGACCGGCTATGTTTACACTGTAACACCAGCAAGAAAACTAGCGCGATCAACCTGAAACTTCGATCAGGGAACCACAATATTACCGACTATAGGCATGTATGGCGAAAGAGATGATTATTTTTGACTTACCATCGTATTTAATATACTTTTCATTTAATATGATGTTAGTAAAAGAGCATCATATATATATATATTTATGAATAAAAATGACAATAGGAAAACTGGTAATTGCTGACGCGTTTTCCAATGTGGACTTTATCAAAGCAAAAATACGAAAATGAAATTAAATTAAAGTAAATAATAAAAAACAAAAACAGAATTTTGCTTTGATAAAGTCCACATTGGACGAAACGCGTCAGCAATTACCAGTTTTCCTATTGTCATTTTTATTTATATATATATATATATATATATATATGTGTGTGTTAATATCAATATTTAGATTTTTATAAATCACTGTGTGTATAAATTCTGAAAATACCTTTGATAAATCTAATTATCTTTCGTCTACTAATCACGGGTACGCTAGGGAGGCTTTATCAGTTTAAAAAGAGAATAAAACAAATGATAGCCTCATTTTATTTCAGTGCATGCAATCTGTTGACACGAGGTGGCTAATCGGGAAATACTTTTCTTTTATAGTTCAAAAGCGTTTTCGCAGCCTTGTGGGTGATGAAATCGTTTCCACCCTACAACCTTTTTCCCACCGCCGATAAAAAGTTTCTAGCCTTGTGGAGAAGCGTCAAAGAGTTATAGTAATTGGTTTACTTATTTATTGATTTGGATTATGTGTTTTACTCGTTTATTTATTGTAATTTATACATTTTTTAAAGTTATTTTATCGGGTGGATTTAGGGCCTTGTATAGAATGGACATCAGCAATATATATATATATATATATATATATATATCGAGTGTAACAACAAAATTGTCCAAATCGTGTAAAAGCAAAACTGTCCAATTGTTAGATTAAGCTTTGAGCCGTTGTATCTTAAAAATGATTTAAAGATATATTACTGGAATTCTCCTAGGTTTTTATAACACTATTGGACTCTACTTTCAGCAATATAACTTATAATTACTCTCCAAACGATAATGACATGTTCTTCATTAATTAATCATAGCTAAAAATTGGAAGGACATGAAGGATAGAAATTAAGTTTATATATATATATATATATATATATATATATATATATTCCCGGATAATTTTCAAAATTATTCAAGATGATCTTCGTCCTCTCTAACCTTCTAACTTTATGTCCTGGAGTAAAAAGTTGCCTCACAAGTTTGTCGTACGATTTCATTTTTCAAGTATCTTTTTTCTTTTTTTTTTTTTTTTTTTCCTGCTCCTTGGACTGAAACTCCTCTCTCACGTGCCAAACGTCTTATGGATTGAGTTGGATCTTTTCTAATTGATCTCTTTCGCTCTAAGTTGAAATGATGATCCCTCTTTCTATTGTGATCTAGTTTTCCCTTTTACTGTTCCCTTTTGTTTTTAAACTTATTCACCGTTCTTTTGATGGTTCTTGAATGGAATTTGAAGATGAACGCCAAAGTATGGATATTGATGGTGTGAATGATCTTTTCCTTCTCACCACTGTTCAGGTGGGAAGACAGTGGGGCTGATACAAAACGATTTTAACCTGTTCTCTTTCGAGGTGAATAATTCGAAGGATTTTTCACTGATTTTATGTTTTTTTTAAAATTTTTTTAGATTAATAATATTTTTAGGAATACAAGTTTTACTAATTGACCCATAGCTGGAGGGGAAGAGATGAATTCATACATTTCCCAAGGGTTATTTGCGAACTCGAATGGAATTGGAAATCGGAGAGCCGATTAACAATTATTATCCGTTAAACCACCCACGCATCAAACTTACAGCACCTGGTATTCTCAACCAGCCACCCATCTAGATACTGAACAGGCTCGACGTTGCTTAACTTCGGTGATCGTGCGGAAACTGGTATATCAGCGTGGTATGAACGTGAGCACATTACACCACACGCGCATCAAAGCTTACAGCACCTAGCATTCACAAGCAGCCACCCATCTTGGTACTGACCAAAATCGATGTTGCTTAACTTCGGTGCTCGTATGGTGATATTGTCGGAAGCCCATTACACAATCCGCACATCAAAACTTACAGCACCTGGTATTAACAAGCAGTTACCCATGTAGACAGTGAGCATGCTCGTCGTTGCTTAACTTCGGTGCTCGTACGGGAAGCTGTTTCAAAGTGATATGACCGTACACCCATTACACCTCCCGCGTATCAAGGCTTAAAGCACCTTAACAAGCAGTTACCCGTCTAGGTAGTGACCAGGCTCGTCGTTGCTTAACTTCGGTGCTCGTACGGGAACCGATGTTTCTGAATAATGTGACCGTAAGCCACCCGCGAATCAAAGCTTAAAGCACCTGTTATTCCCAAGCGTTCACCCATCTAGGTACTGGTTAGGCTCGTCATTGCTTAACTTCGGTGTTCGTACGAGAACTGGTTTCAACCAGATATTGTCGTTTGCCCATTAGAGCATCCGTACATAAAAGTTTACAGAACATGGTATTAACAAGCTGTCATCCATGTATACTGACCAGGCTTGACATTGCTTAACCGGTGATCATACGGCGTATATAATGGGATAGTTGAACAGTTAAATTGATATCAGCCAAAAATGAAAGCTGTACGTTGGAAAATATATTTAACTTGCGTAGAGGTGGGGCATCTTTGAAACCTTTAGTCATAAAAATCACTAAAGTTTGTATATCTTGAGAATTCATTATAAAAGATGTTTACACTCTTTTGCCATTTATTCATGAAATTTATATATTTTTACGAATGAAAAAATGATTTTCGTACATATTTTTTATTTCATTCAAGAGCAATCATCTGTGAAAATCCGACGCAAATGAAAAATATCTAAAAAGAAATATATATATATATATATATATATATATATATATATATATATATATATGTAAAAAATGTATATAAATATATATATATATTATATGCGCGGTACTTATTAGAAAGCGCTCAATATCAGAGATAGAGGTAACATATTTGGTTGGATAGATGTGAGTTTGTCACTCACATCTATCCAACCAAATATATATATATATATATGTGTGTGTGTGTATGTGTGATAATTAGTAGGGCTAATTCCAAAGAGGTTATAAATCCAAAGAGAGCTCAAGGTAAGAACAGAGCAAAATTAATAATAATAATGAAAACGGAATCATTAGAAATCCATGGTAATAATTTATTTCGCAAAATCAGAGTTCGTCTCTTCAGCGGCATAGAGAAGGTTGCGCACTAAACTGAAAAAGACTTTTCCCTTTGCTGCAGACCTACGTATGTTGAAAAGCTTGCCAGTTGACATATACCTTATCATAATACTCGAACGCATCAAGAAGTACAATTGCAAAGTAGATAGAAAACAGTGTAGGAGCCACAAGTTCTTCGTGCTTGACTCTATTTTCAACTTTGACGGGTGCCGTAAGTATACCGCCAAAACTGATACAGGCTTCATACCATCATGGAAGGACCTAAGAATCTTCAGGAAGTTCAGCCCAATTTTGAGAGGATGTTCTAGAGACCAGCACGATTAACAGTGTCAAAAGCCTTCTTCAGATCTACAAATATTTGATAAAAGTCTATTTGTTATTCACAGCTCTTTTCCTGGATTTGTCGTGCTGTGAAAATCATATCTGAGGTCCCTCTGTGTTAGCGAAAACCACACTGTGACTCAGGCAGTATATTCTCAAATATGCTCTGGTTTAATCTTAATAGAACAGAGGCTAAGATCTTACCTGCTGAAGAAAGGGAGAGCAAGCCGACCACGTTGAATCCCTCCATGCTACGCAGAACATCACCCACCGATGGTTGGCTATGGGTCTTTGGGTATTTTCTTGGGAACCTGAGTTCACAATTGAAGGCTTGTTCAGTAGCCCATCAGAGTGATGTTTCTTCCATATTTTGGCAATGCCATCTATGTCTGAGAGGAGCGATCTTGGCGGATCAGGAGTTAAGTACTTGTTTCATCAAGTAGTGCATCTGCAAAGTAGATAGAAAACAGTGTAGGAGCCAGAAGTTCTTCCTGCTTGACTCCATTTTCAACCTTGATGGACCCAGTAAGCATACCGCTAAAACTGACACAGGTTTCCATACCGTCATAGAAGGACCTCAGAATCTTAAGAAAGTGTTGGAGGGGGGTGCAGCCCAATTTTGAGAGGATTTTCAAAATTGCAGCACGATTTAGTGTCGAAAGCCTTCCTCACATCTACAAATATTTGATAAAGGCCCATTTCTTGTTCGCAGCTCTTTTCCTAGATTTGTCGTGCTGTGAAAATCATATCTGTGACTCAGGCAGTATATTGTCAACTATGTTCTGGTTTAATCTTAATCGGAGAACAGATGTTAAGATATTACCTGCCGAAAAGAGGTAAGCAATCCTGCTACAATTACCACATATTTCCCGGGCACCTGTACACTTATATATAGGTATCATTGTTGCACCTCTCCATCTATCCAAATATTTACAATAAGATCATGCATAAGTTGACTTAAATGTTTTCCACCGTAACGGAATATCTCAGCAGGAAGGCCGTCAACAGCCCAGCCCATATTGAGTCCCTCCATGCCACTCAGAACCTCGACCAGCGATGGTTGGCTGTCAAGTTCTACAACTATGGGTCTTTGGGATATTTTCTCGAGAACCTCAGGGTCCACATTTGAAGGCCTATACAGTAGCCCCATCAAAGTGTTTTTTCAATCTCTTGTCCATGCCATCCATGTCTATGAGGAGATCATTACCACCCTCTGTCCTGAGAGGAGCAATCTTGATGTATTTGGGGCCAAATACTTGTTTCATCAAGTCGTACATCTGCTTGGTATTATTTGAATTCGCTGCATTCTGTATTTCATCTGCTAGATCTGACCACCATTTTTCCTGTATAGTTTGAAGAACACGTTGAGCTTTTGCAGCTTTATGCTCCCTGCATAGATTACTGTGTTGTTCTTTGGACAGCCCCTTTTGCAACATCGAACTTCATATCTGATTCTTTCTTGCAATGATTTCTTTGATAGCATCATCGTTTTCATCAAGCCAGTCTCGATGTTTTGCTGGCATTTTCTCCAGAACTTCCTCAGC